GAGTCCGACCAGCTCACCCTCATATTCGACACGCTCGGCACGCCCACCTCCCACACCTGGCCCGGCTGGAAGGAGCTGCCAGACTCCGACCACTGGCGGAGCCCCTGAGATATCACAAACTCCCCTCGAATATCCAAATGAGCTTCCCCCAATGAGATACAGCAGCCTACGCATGAACGAGAATTCCATTTGATTAGTGGAACCAAGAGAGGAGCAAGAGCTACTTGAGACACAAGACGACGCACATCGGGACAAGGCGACAGGCTGCAAGTGGGCAATAAGACAATCCAAAAACGCCAACCCATGCCGCTTTCCAGTCCAAAAAAAAGGGGGGCGGGGGGGGGGGTACGTAGGTGAGAGCGCGCGGGGCAGTCCGTGGGGGCACTTGAACCATGAGTCATCGAGGGAATCGGGCGGGTCCCGCATCTCGTCTGGTCTAAGCTTGTCTGGCTGCTTCTTCCTTCGCGAAACCTACCGGCACGTTGACAGATTTATGTTCTCTTCGTGACGCCGCAACACACCATGAACAAACGTACAACAAAATAGGCAACACAGCAGTCAGGCCGAAACGCGGAGAGCCAACGACAATCACAGCGCAGCACACCTCGTAGGTCGTGAAGTAGACCTGTCTAAAAACCAGGCTGGTCGAGCTTATCCAGAACCCCTGAGAGTCGACAGCAGGAGCAGGAGAACAAGCAACAGGTGCGTGGAAGGGGGAGAAAGATATATGATGTGGATGATGACGCACTGAACGCAAAATCACAGGGACAAAAAAAACGTGGGTCACCGCGGAGCCACAGCAGTACAGCAGCAAATGGGTTCAAGTGTCGTGATAACAAACGCCTGCTGCTGGGACTGCCGCTGGGGCTGCTACACTGCGGAAGATATTCTCCGCGTCGTGGATCAAGCAGTCAAACGGTGACAGGTCAGGAGGCGCTATTCTCGAACATTGTGTACTGAAAATAGACCAAGGACACGTGTGCTAGGAAAAGAGAAATTCCGCTCGCTCTGTTGCCCTTTCGATGCCAGACACAGGCCGAGTGCGGTGTGTCTTCCCAGTGCCCTTGATACCAGTACAAAAAGCCTCTATTCGCACATGCACACGACTTACCACATCGCGAACGGCGTCTGTTGGAGTGAACGCTACACTTGAATCCAACAGAGTAGACCCCCCCTACACCTACGTCCCTCGGAGAGCAGGTTGGGAGGCATGAACTCATCCTCCTGTGTATTGTATTTCGGTACTGTAATCCCGGCAGCACTCTGCGCCATCTGCGATAATAGCGCAAGGACCGAGAGTGTGAGAAAGACAGCAAACATGAAAGGTGATGAGAAACATGAGTTCTTTTTCGTGGGAGATATGTCTACGCAGAATTTCACCTTATAGAGACCTCTGACCCCCTCCTCCCGGACAGTCGCCCTCGCCACCTGGAACGCCGACTTCTCGCTCGCGCCACCCCTTGCCACTTGAATCTTGGTCTTGAGGAGGAACGGGGGGTATAGAAGCGCCCGCACGCCCATAAAAAAAGTGATGCCATAAGAGTAACTGTTGTTTGGGTTGAGGGGGTAAAGAGAGGCGGATGGAGGAAGGGTCGGTCCGGGGATAAGTGGGCGGGAAGAGGAAGAACGGAGGGGCGGCGGAACACAGGGAAGGGGGGGGGGCGTACTCTTATGTTTTGCATGCCTTAGCGGTTAGACCATTGACCACGCGTCCTCGAGAGGACGGAGCATTGTTCCCACAGGACCGATCACCGATGGCCAATCGTTCCTTCCTACATACTTTGCCAAAGGTGGCTCAAAAATGTCTTCTCTAGTCTGTCTATCCTAACGATATCCCTTCCCGCCTTCTCAAACCACTTCCTACTCCCCAGCACAGCTACCGTCCTCTCCTCTCTATTCCATGCCTCAAACATCTCCCTGTACGTCCCTTGTATTTTTTCCCAGCTCAGTCATGTACACTTCCCTCTCCTCTTCGTACCACGGACATTCCGCGACTACATGAACACTGTCTTCGCATTCGAAGCCGCAATCACATTTGAACTTGTCGTCTTCGTCGTCTACCGTCCTATGTCTTCGTCGACATTCTCGAAGGCCTATGTCCCCGGTCCTGAATTTGACCTTAAGCTTTGTCCCTGCATCCATTGGTCCATGTAGGTAATCCTAATCCTTGAACCCTATTCCTTCTTCCAACATTCCGTACACTTCTAGACCCTCCTTATCCTTGGTTTCTCTCCTTACATTCTGTTCTTCTCTTTCGGCACAGGGAGGGGGGGGGGGGGTTGGCACATGTTATAGGATTTGATTGTAGCATTATTTATGCGGTACATAGAACGGATTGATTCCTTCGTTTAATACTTAAAAGGAGCGGGGAGATGTAACTTCCCGATGGAAGGGTAATCCGGGGACAGGATCTTGGAGCCCCCGCTTCAGGGAGCTGACCCTGCTCCCACCGTTGTCATCCCAAAAATTCGAATGTGCGTGGGAGCGTCGGCACGTCGGCGGCCCTAGTTTACCTCAGAGAAACGCCCCGGACGCCCCGGATGGGTTTCGAATACCGTACCACCAAAAATTGCAGGTGCTTTCCTGGGCATCCTCTAAGGCACAACAAAATGGGACATCAGAGAACGCCCCCAGAGGTGTTCCAACGCACTGCTCTACCACCAAAATGTTCAGATGCTTCCCACAGGCGTTCTCCCGAAGGGTACAAATGCAAATTCTCTGACTCGCGGGTGTGTCAAACCTTCGCAAAGGTCACCAAGAAAGAAATTTCCACCCACAAACGTAATCGTCCCGCTGAGAATACTGTACCGCACCCTGAAAGAATGAATTGGAAGAAAGAGCAAGTGTGGCTTACCAACATAACAGTATGTGTAGCCTCCTGTGTCCTTCTAATTTACAGCAGTGTATCACAGAGAGTGCGCGGGGGCTACGTCGTAAACCGATCACGTGGCCATTTACGCCGCACGTGAAATATGTGAGTACGTTTGCCCTTGTTGTTCAAACTGCCCGCTACCAGCTGATTCGTGGTTCCACGGAAGTCATATATACATATATACCACTGTGCGTTACATGTTTTACGAACCTTCCGTCTAGAGAGCACAGAAAGGTAATTGAATTGCACCCCCGGACAGACAGCAGTGTTGTGTTGTACGTGGAGAAGTCTGCACTCGAAACAGAGCTATTAGGCATCGACAGTAGCATAAACAAGTGAAGGGGGAGTGGCGTCGATCACAGCATCATAGCTGGCGTGGAGCCATGTAGGACATCTATGAAACCTGTGTTCAATCACAAGCTTGTGGCCATGGCAACTCATCACGCTGCGCTGACCGAAGGGGGGGGTGAGACGCTGCTGCTGCTGACGGCAGGAACAAAATACCGTGTTCAATTCTATTGCACTCACAATCTCTTCTTGTCTAGGTCTTCCCAGTCCACCGTCTGCCTTTCATCACTGGGATCCATCTCCTGGGCCAGCCCGTCCACGGGAGAGGGCGAATTAAATTAGACTGCTGCTGTATCACCCGCGACGCGAGCGAGCTCGACGTGCGACTATGAGGCAACACGGATGATGCCTTTTTGCCACTTTTGTGCATACCCCGCAAGCGAAGTCCTGCAAACACGTACCCCCCAAGAAACCGCGCTGATCGCCGGCTCTGCGTGTGCGCGTGGCGCTGGCACACTGGCATAATCCTTTTCGTGCCACACGCCACCCATCCTCATCACAGTGGCTTCGGTGAAGACTTCCCGCGACAGGTGTGTGGATCGCCGGCTGTTTTCCTTCTTGTCTGCGGTTCCCCGCTGCGGGGCACGAGATCCGGTGACCCCAACTCCGCTATTTCGGCAGGTAGAGCGGAGCAACCGGCAACACACGGCGGCGCGTGTTTGGCTGTGTTTCGCTCTCTGATTGCCGTTTTTTGCAAGAGGTGCTGGGGGGTTGCAGTATCACCTGCATTACACTCACGTCGTGAGTTAGTGGTTTCGAAAGGGGGGCTTTGAAGCGCTGGTGCTCCATGTAGGTTAACGTTTCCTGGATGGAGACGCGATCGTTACGGAGAGTGGGCGAAGGAGCGGGGGTCATAAGGGGTGATACTGGGTGCGGTTAGCACGAGCTATGCCGCTCTGCAGTGCTTGGAAAGGATCGATGATTTTTTTCTCCCGCGCAAGAAAGCAAATCACACCCTTGCCAACCTCTTGTGATCTTGCGTCTGGTGTCGGTGTGCTTTGCGACGAGAGTCGGCAAGAAAAACACGTGTGCATGCACGTATGTAGGAAGCGGAAGCGTCGCACGTACAGCAACGTTTGTACAGCGGTACGTAGTACAGACACACGAAATCCGTTTGTTTCCAGGAGTCCAGGATGTGCTTAAAAGACGTACCACGTGACAAGTATTCGACCTATGGTCCACAAGACGACAATGTTCACCGTAGTAGACGCCAGCAGTACGACGCCGATTCACATTCCATGTGCGTTTGTACACAGAAGATGATTTTGCGAACAGACCACCAGAGGTACAGCAGTTTCCCCGCACCACCTTCCGCAGCACCTCGTCTGGACGTGGTACGGCAACCTGATAACGTGGTCGGTCTGAGCTGATTTTAGGCGGTGCAATTTTTTTCCTAGATGTCGCTACACAGACCAATCTTGGTGCGAATGGGGCACTACCGTGATGTGCGACCCACGGAGCAGTGGACAAGTGCTGGGCGTGCGACAGAGCATAACCAGGCGTGCCGTATCGTAGAGGTGCGGTCTAGGGGTGCGTGTGTATGTGTAGCCGCCCAGCCGCCCGCAGGAGCAAGAGTGCTTGTAGGCTTTGTGCGTGCTGCTCAAGATCGTTATTGCAGGGCTGTCGTTGTACATCAGTTGTTGAAAAACACCGGCCCGTCGCCCACCCATGCCCCCTTCACGCAACCGACCCCAGGCGGCTAGAAGCGTTCAACCTCGTACCTGCACAGGCTCGAAAGAAGACTTCCGAAACCACACACATACCTGGAGCCACGGATTACCTCTGCGGCCGCCAACACGGCGTTCTTGCCCCCGGTCTAGTGCCATCATCAGCGTGGTGCACATGCCGCCGCTGCGGGCATGAATGCCGGCCTTGGTGACTACCGCACAATCACGCCGGGGATGAGCGACCACGGCCGTCGCCATTTGTTCGCAACGAAGAGCCTGAGACCTCGGTGTCGGCGAACGTTTCTTGGGCGGCAGCAGAACCACCATCATCGTGGGGCGCGGCGTCGGGGCCGATGACTGCCAAGTCACTCAAGGGCGAGGAGCGAGAGGACAACGACAAGAAGGAAAGAAAGAGGCAAGACGTAGAGGAAGAGAAGGAGGGCGTGGTGGTCGGCGAGGAGGAGAGGGGGGGGGGAACGGTTATTGTGCGTGCGCATCGGGTGTCGGGGTGGGAGCAGGCGGGGCCGCGGCATCGTCGGACTGGCAGCAGCAGCAGCGGCGGCGGCGACGGGAGGGGGGGGCTGTCCCGGTCGTCGTCGTCGTCGTCGTCGTGTTCGTCCTCTGCGTCGCCGTCTGCCCGTGTCGGGCGAGTGTCGTCAAAGAAGCGCGAGGGCTCGCCGTCGCGCAGGCGGGGGGTAGCAGCGGCGGGGGATGTTGAGGTCAAAGGGTCAGCGGCGCGAGAAAAAGGCGGGGATCTGCAGAAGAGGGGACGAACGGGCAAGAGCGGGGGGCTGTTGCAGGAGCGCAGGGCGGGGAAGGGGGCGACTGCTGGTTGTGAGGAGGGGGAGGACGGGCGGCGGCGGCGGCGGAAAGAAAGCGATCAGGGCTCCGAGAGAGAGAGAGGTGGCACGCGTGTGGATCGGCAGCTGCAGGAGAAGGTTGCGTCTTCAAGTGGTAAAAGCGAGCGAGAGGGTGCGAGAGATAAGAAGGTGACGAAACGGAGAGGGGGAGGCGTATGCTTGGCTACCTGCTGAGCGCGTCACCTGAACGATAAACTAAAGGGGAACGATCACAATGGTCACAAAGCTCACTGGGCAAAGAGAACCGCGACATGGGTCGGACGCTTGCACATCATCACAACACTCACTGTTTGCATTCCCTGGCTTTGCTTGGCAGTGAGTGGAAGTCGCAAGGGTCTCACCAAGTGCGGCGCGCAATGCATCACCCGCACTGCGTATATGTGATGAATGAACTCCTAAGTATCGGCATGCTCATAAAAAGTCTAGGGTCAGTTTTCATGTTTTCGGTACAGCAGCAGCACAAGGGGACTAGTCACTGGGATCGGCCTTGCTTGCACCATCCGAAGAACCCGCATTTGAATCCCCGCCCACTTGTTCATATCCTTTCCCTCTCATGCAGCCATGAGAACTCGAAATCGGACGTGTCCCCGCTCTTTCTCACAAGCTCCCGTTCTCGTCCCTTCTTCGGCCGGGCGTTTTTTCTGCGCTCGCTCTTCTGCGCACCAGCAGCAGCGACGAAGAGATTCCCATCGTCCCTCCCCGAGACAAGAGGAAGACCACAAGAGGAGCTGGGGGCCGGAGGTCGGGCTCGACGTCGTCTCGGCCTCGCGTCGCCGTTCGCTCGAGCCGCAGGGCGTCACCTACGACGAGATGCCTCGAAACTATGCTCGAGGTCCGGAGAAGCAGCAGACCGCAGATGATAGCGGCGCAGGAGGAGGACACGTGAGCGCGACGGAGGCCGAAGGAAACAGCGCAGCAGCAACAAGTACGGGCGAACGCGGCGGCGGCGGCGGCGGCGGCGGCGACTACTATGGTGCAAGCGGCAGTGGTGACGGCGCCTTGGGCGTGGGAGGACGGCCGGGAGTTGTTGTTGTTGCTTCGCAGCAGGGCAATCCGAGGGACGAAGACAAGCGTGGCGACGTCGACGACCGGAACAAGAGCGGTCGAACTGGCGGCGGCGGCGAGCGGCGGGAGGGAGGGGGCGGGGGAGAAAGCGCGGACGACGACGGCGTTGCGACCCGGCGTGACCTCCCGAACGGTGGTGGCAGCGGCGGGGTTTCCCCACGCGCTAAGGGGGGGGCCGCGGAATGCGGCGAATCGAGCCCGAGAGGGGAGAGAAAGAACAAGACGAAGAGGGATGGCGGTGCCAGCGGCGCCGGTGACGATGGTGCTGGTAAGGGCGACGACCGTGGTGGAGCTGGCGGCGGCGAGAAACAGAAACGGAAGGCCGTCTCTGGGGAGAGAGCAGCGCCGGCGGCACGGGGGACCCCTCGCAAGGCTAGAGCTAGCCGTACCCAGAACGGGGCGAGCAGACGCGCCTCGGAACTGGGGCCCGTGACTTACGTGACGCACGACCGAACGACCGCCGTGGAGGAAGAAGACGGGCAGCACGACGGAATGCGCGGGGCGGGAACGGGGCCTGCTGGAAGGACCGGCGGTGGCGGTGGCCCGTCGCCCTTGCCATCGCCGTTCTCACGACGCGCGAAGCGGCCGCGGCCAACGTTGCAGGGGGGCTCCGCTCGCGCCGTGGTGTGGGGGCAGCCCTGCCCTGCCTGTCGCGGGAGGGGCGGGGAGCCCCCTCCCGGCGGGATTGGGAAGGAAGCAGACGGAACCTCTAGGGGCGGCTGCAGCGGCCCTTGTCGGGGAGCCGAAGGAGGAGCCGGAACGGGCCAGGGGCCGTTGAGGATTGGTCAGTACGTCTACCTTCGCGCCCCGGCTTCCGAGGACTTGCAGCGCTCGCTGGTGTCCGAGGGTGAGTTCGCCGCCCCGAAAGCCGGCGGGCTGTCCGGCTCTGAGCTTGCGGGAGAGCGTATACGAGTGTTGCGGGAGACTGGGGACGGCGGCGACGGGTCTTTCGCCGCGGCGGATGTGGTGCAGTTCAACACCGCCAGCGGCAAGCACAGGCTTCGGTTCGTGCAGGACGGCGCCGTCAAAGACGTCGAGCTGATGAAGCCACCAGACTTGGAAGCCGACATCAGCGATGACGCCGAGCGCGGTGCTCCTCAGGGCCGACCAGAGGAGAAAGGGACCGGTGGCGGCGGTGGCGTGCGCTGGCTTCAAAGGCGCGCTCGACGGCGCGCTCGCGATGCGATTCAACGGAACGCGGGCGGCTTGTGCGAGGGGCCGTCGGGCGAGGTCCGAGGTCTAGTGGGAGACGAGCACGACCCGTTTATCCAGCGCGAAGAGAACTGGCGCTGGGCACTGAGCCGTTGGAGGTGGAACCTCGGGGAGCGAGACGGCTACTACTCCGATGACCGCGGGGGGGGCGGGGGGCGACGTGGCTCTGGCGGCAGTAGTCGTGATGGGGGCAAGCGAGGCGGCGGCGGCGGCGGCAGCCGAGACACGGAGAGGTGCGGAGTTCCACACGCCGGGGACGGAATGTTTCCCCCGATCGGCAGGGTTGTGGCCGTGGAAATTCGCCGCGTAGACACCGGAGAGAAGGTCGTCGAAGGGGGTGCGGATGGCGGTGGTCGTAGAGACGGATTGAAGGAGGAGGAGCAGGAAGGCAAGGGAAGGGCGACGGAGGTGTGGCTGAAGGTGGCGCGGCTCTGGTACCCTCAGGACACGCGGTGCGGAATGGACCCGTTCGTTCACGGCAAGGCGGAGGTGTTCGAGGCCTGCCGGGTCGTTCGCCCGGACGGGCACCCTGACGGGGAGTGCGCTTGCGCGCCAGATTCGCGCTGCGGGTCGGCGGCGGCGAAGGGGACGGAGACGGCGGCGGCGCACAACAGGAAACGAGACTCACGTTTGCCCGGCGGCGCGCGTGGGGGCGGCTCCGGCTCCGGCGGCGCCGCGAGAAATCGTGCGGGTGCCGTCGCCGCTTCGAGGCTCAGCGGAGAGCGGCCTCTGGCCGCTTGCCTGAAGATTGAGCCCGTGACGCTGTGGGTGCCGGCGTGCGAAGCCCACCGCGTGGCGAGCGTGCACCCCTGCATCGACGGCCGGCTGAACCCTTGCGCCGGCAAGGTCGTCAACGACCCGTACCAGCCGCAGGCGGAGTTCTTCATCAGCCACCGGTACTGCCTCGAAGCCGACGCGTACTTCCCGCTCGAGAGCCCGAGGAGCGGCGCCAACAGCAGCGGCGGCGGCGGCGGCGGGGGCGGGGGCGACGGCGGCGTCGGGATGGAGACCATCGTCGGAGCGCTTGGCGTCCCCGTGGGAGGGGGTGGGCGGGAGGGCGGGTTGCACAAGCTCCCCTCGCCGCGCTCGGCCAAAGCGCGCCTGCTGAACAGGACCGCGTCCGACAGCATGCTGGATGACCTGCCGCCCAAGTGGCACCCCCTGAAGAAGCGGATGTCGCTGGGCCAGCAGTCGCCGGCGGGCGGCGGCGGCGGCGGCGGCGGCGGCGGTGGTACGGACTCTCCGGTCATCGGCTGGGAGAGCGCGATCATTCGGAGCGGCAGGGCGGACTCGGGGTCCTCCGCAAGCGGCAGGACCACGCCTGTCGACGCCACGCCCTGGAGCCCCAGGGAGTCGGGCCACGACGGGCGCGACGCGCAGAAGGTGTACCTCTGCCACCGGTGCAGGCACACCTTCCCGTCCTCCCGGCTGCAGCGGTGCTCGGGGAGGGGCTGCCTCAACCACTTCTGCGCTCCGTGCGCGGTCGAACGGAGCGGCGGGCTGAGCAGCAGCAGCGGCGGCGGCGGGGGGAAGGGTCGAGCGCGAGGCATGAGGTGGCCGACGCAACCGCTTCCGCCGCCGCCGCTCGGAGGGTTGGCGGACCCTGGCGGGGGTCAGCACGGCGGGTGCGAGACGACACCGCAGGCGTGGACGGGACCGTGCTGCCAGGGCGGCTGCGGTTGTCACGAGTGCGTTACTGGAGCGGAGGAGGGCCTCTTGTCCGGCTGGAGCGCCCGCAACGGGGTTGCGTCTGCGTGTGCGGCGGCTACGGCACCCGCGGACGTGTTGCAGCAGCGTCGTGGATCGCGGTCGCTCAAGAAAGCAAGGGTGGCGGCCCAGGCCCCGGCTCCGGCGGCGGCGGCGGCGGCGGCGGCAACGCCGAAGAAGATGGTCGGGTGGTCAGGGTGGCAGGAGCGGCCGAACGGCGTCCAAAGAAATCCGGACCCGTCGACAGGGAGAGCGAGCGCCAACACCAACGTCAAGGGAAGAGGAGGTGATGCTCCTGCTTGCGTCGAGGGATGGGCTCGGGACGCGGAGGGCGGTGGGCAAGACGCCGTCGTGGACACGGCGGTGGAGTGGTGCCGGAGCTGCAGCGGCCCGGGGCCGACGGGGTCATTGGCGCGCTGCTACTATTGCCACGGGGGCGTGCACGTCTCCGGGTGTCATCGGTTCGAGGAGGCGTTGACGCGGAGGCGACTCGCGGAGTTCGGCCTCGGGCCCGCCGGGCACTTCTCGTCGGCGCCGTCGGGCGAAGGCGCCGTGGGCCACGGGGTCGCCGTGTGCGTCGACGGGCGGTGGCGAGCGGGGCTGGTCCTGTGCTGGAGCCCCCCGTTGGGCGCGCACTACGTCCGGTACGTTGACGAGTGGGAATCTGGGGAGGGAGCCACGTCGAGCTTGGATGCCATCCCTTGGGAAGGCGAGTGGGTGGAACTACCGGACGAGTGGGCGAGAGAGGCGACCGTAGGTCCAGGAGGAGGAGAGTGTTCTTCTTCTTCTTCTGCCAAGCGCTTCGCGGCGACGGTTCGGGCAAGCGGCGTGCGGTGGCCGCTGGTGGAGATCTCGCTCAGGCTGTTTCCGCCGCCGGCGGCGGCTAGCGGCAGCAGCAGCACCAGTAGCGCGCCCGCCGCCGCCAAACCGCCTCCAGAGAGCAGGTCGGCGACCAAGGTGCTGAAGGCGTTGCTCAAGCAAAACTTTCTCGCTTCCCAGGCGGCGGCCGCGGCGAAGAGTGGCGGCGCGGCAGTCTCCCATCAGTATCGGCCTCCCGGCGTCGCCGTTCTTTCCGGGACAGCGCCGAGCGCTCGCGCGAGCGGTGGGGGCGTTGGGAGGGGGAGCAGCGACGGTAGCGACGTCGGAAACGGAACCGAGCAGGCCGGGGAGCAGCGACGAAAGCCGTGGGTTTGTCGGGCGTGCGTGGAGGCGAAGCTGCACCGGCTGCAGCGGCGGGTGCGCTCCCAGTTTCTCGTGCCGTGGGAGGACCCGGATGGACCCTCGGCGGTAGTGTGCGCGACGGCGGCAGCGACAGGAAGAGGAGGAGGAGGGGGGGGGTCGACAATGGCCTCCGCTCCTCCAGTCGGTGCATGTGCGGGGTCGACCGAGAGCCCGATGACGCCGTCGAAAGGTCCCCCCCCCGCCTCCTTAGCCGCAGGCGGCGGGACCCCCGGAGCTGCGGGGTCACCGAAGCCACCAAGGCAGGAGGCGGCGGCTGGGGCGGGGAATGATGATGGCAAGGATAGGCCCCCTTTTCTTCCTCTGGCGGTGGCGGGCAGCGGCAACAACAGAGGACCGGAGAGCAAGAAGCGCCCGCGAGAGGGGAGCGGGCTTTCTTCCTCCGCCGCCGCCGCCGCCGCTTCTTCGCCGGAGCAGTCAGGACCGGGAGGAGGAAGAGGCCGAGAGGGCGGACAACGAGACAAACCGGCGGCAGCGGCGGCAGCGGCAGCAGCAACAGCAGCAGCAACCGCGGCGAAGGGCGAAGACGGCGGCAACGGCAATGGCAACGGCGGCGGCCGAACAACCCCCGCCCGTGCTCGCGGTGACGACAATCGCCGGTTGCGCTGGCTGCCGGCCGGCAACCCAGGCAGCACGCGGCCCTTCGCGTTCGAGGCCGGCTTCATGTCGGACCTCGCCGACCTCCACGCCCGCGGCGGCGGCCCGACGGCCAACGGGGCGGGCATCGGCAGCTCGAGGAGCGGCACCCGCGGCGGGAAGAAGAGGCCGCGCCCCCCGCCGGCCGTCCGCGCGTTCTCGCACCTGCTCGGGAAGCTGGGGACGCAGAGCGCTCTCGCGTTCGCCCTGCCGCCGGAGGTCACCGACCTGGACAGGGACGTGGCGGCGTTTTTCGCGAGCGGGGGTGGGGGCGGCGGCCGAGGGGGCGGCGGGGACGAGGGGCCCCTTGGTGGCGAGGCGCGGGGTGCGCGATCTGTGGTCTTGGTCGACGGAACGGCAGCGGTTGCGATGGCGGCGGCGGCGGCGGCGGGGGGGGGGGGGAAAAAAACCGGGTCCCCCGCCAAAATGGCGGCCGTCCCAAGGGCCAACAAACTGCACCAACAAAAAGGGCAAGGGCAGGGGAACAACCTTTGTGCCCCCCCCGGGGCCAACGGCGGAAGAACCGGCCCCCCTTCTGAAGAAGGGGGCGGGGGCGGGGGCGGCATCCGGGCTGGCGCCCGTGCCGCTTCTGCTGCTGCCCTGTCAAAACCTGCCGGTTTTTCCCCCCAAAAAGAGGGGGAACTGGAATCCAACCCCAAAAACCCGCCCCTGGAAAACAACAACCAACCCCCGAAAAAGTCCTCAAACTTTGGAAGTGAA